AAACCCCAAAACCCCAAAACCCCTAATGATAACAATTGCAAAATAGCATAGAATAAAATTAGGATAAAGAAATTAACGATTTAAAATAGAATTATTTGAATATCCTCTAAATAATAATCATTATAATGATGTTCCAGTTGTGCCAATCAATTAAAAATCTTTTTTTCAACCAAATGTATCTTCTGAACTATATATTAAGTAAAGATGCCCATCTAACTTATCTCTGTAATTTTGATATACCGTCATCAAATTAGTTGAGTGATTCAGAATTTTATATTTTTGTTTCTAAAAATGTAAGTGTTAGAATATATTAAGAACTTACTATAAACCAATCCTGCTTATTATAAGTATAATGAATTGCGTAAAGAAAAAAACTTTTAGACTTGTCATTAATGTTCAACATCATTTTAAGGTATATTAAGACCTAATGTAATTTCACAGGAATAGACTGATTAATGATTAGCCTAAATAAATTAATAGAAAGAGTATTTATTGTATTACCTTCTATGCTCAAGTCTTTGCAGTTTATCAACAGAATTTGTCTGAGCAGATTCTAATACTAAAAAAAAGTATTCATCATCCATTTCTTTTTTATGCTCCTCATAAAACTTTTTTCTTTGCTCTAAAATTTTATCAATAATATTGCTTTTTAAAATTAATTATTAATTTCTAAAAATTGTAAAGATAATGCTTACTAATTGGATATTGTTCTCTAAAACTTTAAACAGCAATACTAGCTTCTTTCTTAATCTCTTACACAATGTTTTATGATTTGTTTTCCTCATTTTCTTTGACTAATATCTTTGGAAAAGATTTTTATTCTATAATTATATTAAGTGAAGATATACCACCTAATTCAAAGTAATTCCTTGAAATTTCTTTTATTTCAACTACATATTCTTCCGTTAGTTCTTTTCCTCAGAAATCCATTTTATCCACTTAGAATTCTTAAATGGTTTAGACCGTGTTGCTACCTCTTACTCTCTTATTTTCAAAGTGTTAAGAATCATCAAAAGTTTCATCTGGAATATCTTTGTCAACCTCCATAGCCTATTTTAATAATTTGAATTAAAAATCATTTGCTGAAAAGTATTCACTATTCCTTTAGCTTTCTCGATTCATTTTATTTAATAATTATTTAAATTTTTCTATCAATTTTGATCAATTTAGAAGCATGGGGTTTTGGGGTTTTGGGG